GAAAAAGAGAGAGATTCGAACAATTTGGATTTGTGTTCAACAGTTACGATCCTTGTGTGGCTAACCGCAATGCTCGAGGGGTACCAAACAAACAATTCCGATATCATGTCGATGACCCTAATTAAGGCCACAGAATGAAGTTGTTGAATACCCAAACTCTGGAGTGGTTCAATGACATGTACGGTACTTATGGAGCCGTAAGGCACCCGTGGTCCCAACACAGACTACTTGGGGGATGACGGTGACTTTCCGATCCAGGCAAGGTAGTCATTGACATGATTGACTATCTTAAGAAGATGATCTTGGAGTTTCACGGTGGACTTCGAGCAAATGAAGAATGGTGCAGCGTGGCACCTCCCGATTTATTGAGTTCTGGTGATGGAGCTGCTTTGGATGAAAAGACCAGAGAAATCTATCACACCAACTGAGCCAAGCTGTTGTTCGCATGTAAGAGAGCAAGAACCAGATGTCTCAAACACTGAAATTGTTCTCTGCACACGGTGAGGAATCCACAAAGTTAATGACTGGGGGAATTGACCAAGGACTGAAGTTCCTGGACCAAACAGTGGAGGACAAAGTTGATACTCCACGTTGATGACATAGTTCCCGTTCATACTTGGTGCGGTGGAATGCATTCACTTTGCAGTCCATCCTGGATTACCGCTCCCATACAGAGAGGAGTCATGTCTTTGGAAGAGGAGCGGTGCTTTCTGTATCCGCAAACAGAAGCTCAAACTCAAGAAGCCAGCACTGAAGCGGCAATTGAATGGAGCTGACGATGTTATTCGCCCATGTTGTGGGCAAATTGTTCCTTGAAGAGCAGGTGATCGATTGTGAAGGACAATATCCTCATGCAGGACAACAAAGCACGACAATTCTTGCGGAGAATGGCAAAGGCAGTTCGGGCAAAAGAACTCGGGCCATCAAATTCGTTTCTTTTTTTTTCATTACCAGATTGGAAAAAGTCAACCTTAGAGTTGTGTACTCCCAACTTGGAGATGCGTGGAGATTTTTTCACGAAGCCCTTCAGGGCAAGCTCTTCCACGAGCACAGGCTTTCATCATGGGCATACCACCCTTGTTTGATGCCTAATATATTTTATTCGTTCCATCCGGTAGCCCTACTAGGGCAACCGTGCAGGAGTGTGTTGTGAGGAAACATACCTGACACCTCTTTACTATTAACTCGTGTATTAATCATCTAGTCCGGTTCGCATGTTGAAAATTTGATCATGAGCAAGGAACCAAGGGAGTTTTAGGTCTTAAAGTGTTGCGGGGGTCCTTATATCCAATTCAATCACAAGAATTGCTATGCACCACCAGAAAATCCTCACTTTTGCTTTACAGCTTAATCCAAAACCAAATTACTCCCCAATAAGCTGCAGTTTTACTAGCTAACACGTGTGCTTGCCTGGATGTGCTTGCACTTCTTGGGACCAAAGGAATCCATTCTCAGTTGTCCTGGGTACTCCTAGATGAATTTCGCCCTGTCGCCATCGCAACAGCTATCAAAACACTTCAGAATAGGTTTCAATTTCTTGGATACAAACCCCTTTGCGGCTCCTGTAAAAACGGTTGTTGTTATGTTAGTGTAGTCCCGGAGAGTCAAGCAGAAATCTATGTGAGCTGAAGTTGACTTCTTGTGCTTGTTGGTGAGGTCATTGTATCCTGGAATCTCTACAGTGCCATACTTGTATTGTCGCTTTTTCTTGGTAGCTGCTGGATTCGGTTTTTTTGTAGCTGGATTCGGTTCTGTTGGAGTTTCGATCTCATCTCTTTTGCGCTTTTTGGCATAGGATTTGGGATAGTAGGATGTATGGTGGTCCCATCCAAAGCCAATGGCATTGAGCTTTGCAATCCGCTCTGGAGATAGTTTCCCTGTTGTTTTGAAATAGCGCTGCTGGCTTGCCCACATCCCAAGGTGAGTTCCTTCCTCACCATCGGTGCAGGTTGCTGATACAAACACTTCCTTCCTCACCATCGGTGCAGGTTGCTGATACAAACACTGGATCATTTGGTTGCAATCTGGCCTCCTGCCATAGTGCTTCGAGGACCGGCTCGACTCGCCGGCACATCGCATCACATTTGTCTTTCAATCCAATGCCAATGGCATTGCCCCACCAAGCAAGCATGAAGGCTTTGCAATCCGCTCTGGAGATAGTTTCCCTGCTGCTTTCAAATAGCGCTGGTCTCTGGCCCATCTCCCAAGGTGAGTTCCTTCCTCACCATCGGTGCAGGTTTCTGATACAAACACTGGATCATTTGGTTGCAATCTGGCCTCCTGTCGTAGTGCTTTGAGGACCGGCTCGACTCTGGCACATCGCATCCCATTTATTATCCAACAAATGGTCCCATCCAAAGCCAATGGCATTGAGCTTTGCAATCCGCTCTGGAGATAGTTTCCCTGCTGCTTTCCAATGGCGCTGATTGCTTGCCCATATCCCAAGGTGAGTTCCTTCCTCACCATCGGTGCAGGTTTCTGATACAAACACTGGATCATTTGGTTGCAATCTGGCCTCCTGCCGTAGTGCTTTGAGGACCGCCTCGACTCGCCGGCACATCGCATCCCATTTGTCTTCCAACAAACCTGCAGTCCCCAGAGCTTGAAGAAGGGTTCAAGATAGTTTTGAGGGTGCATTTCTTGAATGGCAATCATCTCATAGTTGGAGAAGGCACTTCTGGAAGTCTGCTCGATGTAGATTCCAAGTGCCCATTGAGCCTGGAGGAGCCGGCCTGGAATGCCACAGAGCTCAAGCTGCTTTGACATTGGACTGGCGGCATCCTTCGGACTGCGATCAAAGCTGCTCTTTACCAACTCCAATGCCATTCCGCAATCAGCAGAATCCCACCTGCCATTCATCTCGACTAGATCCCTGAAGACTTGATGGCAAGAATCAATGTTGGTTGTGACTGCTGCAGGATCCCGAAGGCACTGTTGAACCCTTGTCAACTTATCCACAATGCGAGACAAAGCCACCGTGTCATCATTGGTGGCAGTGGTGTCCGGTAGTTCGTTTACAAGATGGACGAAGGAATCCCTCTGCGAGTTGGCATAGGAAATGGCATTTTGGCCATGGGCCACAATAGCCACCTTCGTTGTGGGATGCTTGTAATAAAGAGTGACCATGGCAAAGGATTCTTGAAGAATGCGGAAGCACTCATGATAGATCTCATTTCCACCCATCATCTTCATGGTGGCTGCCAAGCGCTGTGGTGCCTCATTCTTTTCACACACCTCCACATTGATGTAAAAAAAAAGGCTCAAGGATTCAAGTAACTCAAGCTTTGCTTCATCGGTCGAACTGCCCATCAGACAACCTCTTGGATTAGTTGTGGTTACGTGCTTTGGGCACCAATTCTCATTAGTGCCATTGTCATTTGTTCCTCGAAAGTTGAGGATGTGATATACAAGAGCATTTGCCAGCCTTTCCACTGTAGGATTGGCTGGAAGGTTGAGTTTCTCCTCAGGAACTCCAGCAGCAACAATCAAGAGTGCATATTCTTTCTTGATTTATTTGCACAGCCTTTGCCAACACATCATTGCGTGAGTTGTGTCTGTAGGACTTGTCTCCCACGTATGGAGTGTACTTTGCGATGAAATCATTGGCAAGTTTTTGGACCTCTGTTGATGAAGTTGCAGTGGCAACAAGCAAGTCGTCATAGACATTGTCCGACAGTGACGACGAAGGAGCCTCCAGCCAGGACGAATCAAACTGGAAGGCTGCAACAGCTGCTGCAACCTCCAGCTGGGAAAAGCCGGCCAAAGAACCATGGGACACAGACACGTCGTCGGACAGTGATGAGTAAATGTTGCCGTGCTCGCTGCTGAATCATTCGATCGAATGCACTTCAACATGATGCGGCAGGGCAACGCTGGTCTCAGGGGTAGGCTGAGGCCCCAGCATGCCAAAGCTTTGCTCAGAGATAAGGGGTCAGCTTGTTCAGATGGCCAGGATCAATGAACATGCCGCTGGCAAGAGAAAGGCTGCTCCAAAGCAAGGTGGTCTGACCAAAGCCAACTGTTGGACCCACTCACAAGCTTCGCAGATATGAAGGGTTGGGCCAGGGTCCTGGGAAAGCCCATTCCAAAGACAAAGCCGAAGATGCAGGAGACTCTGCTGCAGTGCTTTGAGGGCAAGCCAGAAGACCATGTGTTCCACTCCCACTAGCTAGCTAGCTTGGTGGTTGGGCCCCAAGGGGCCCAATCTTTATGGTTCAGAGCCCCTACGGGGGCTTAACCTTTATAGTACTAGCTTAAAAAAATTTCAGTAGACAGTAGTTCGCATAACAGAACATAAAAGGATGGGTACAGATTGTACAGCGGGACCGCTGTACCGCCATCCGCCCAACCGTACACTACCGCTGTAGAGCCGCTGTAGAGCCTCTGTAGAGGATTAGCCAATCAGAATTGTTCGATCTTTAGATTCGATGACGTCAGTCGCTGACGTCAGTCAGTCGTGCACACGATTCGATTCAATATTTCGCATCGATCTGGATGTCAGCTCGATCAATCTCTCGTTGTGTTATTAGCATGTGTTTTCGAAAGACCGACGGAGCATGCATCCAGAGGTTTGAGTTTGACATTGAGCGAGATAGTGAAGCAAGACAATAAAACCGAGGTCATCCCATCCGTAATAGTAGCCGTAGAGGTACTCACCGCAGCCGAGGATATAGCCGCTTTCATCGCAATCCTCCGAAGACGATGAATGCGAGTACGAAAGAGGCGAGTACGAAAGAGGCGCCGGCTGGTATCGACCACTACATCCGGAACCTGTACTCTTTCAGGTCAGTGTTGTCAACCAGTGGTTGGATTCTTCAAAAAAACTGACTACCAAGCAGAAAGAAATCTTTGATAACTCAGTGGAGCACGCAATCGAGCACTATGGTAGTGCCGCCAATACGGACAGTGTTGCCGTGCTCGCTGCTGAATCATTCGATCGAATGCACTTCAACATGATGCGGCAGGGCAACGCTGGTCTCAGGGGTAGGCTGAGGCCCTAGCATGCCAAAGCTTTGCTCAGAGACAAGGGTCAGCTTGTTCAGATGGCCAGGATCAATGAACATGCCGCTTGCGACAATACCATTGTGGATTGATTAATCTAACGATCTTTAGAAGAGATGTAAAGTTTGTATTTCCAAATAAGTGAGCAGTTATTGATTATTTTCTAGAATAGGCCCGCAATTTATAAAGCTGTAAAGCTGAATTGTAAGCTGTATCCCGTCGCACTCCCTTACAGCTGAAATGAAGCTGTAGCAAGAAACGATTGGAGAGAGTCCCCAGCAACGTGCTGAGGTAGATTACCATCCCACGAGGAGCTTCCGAATGACTGCAAACTGTGGAGCTGGCAGACCCTTAGTGAAGATGTCGGCCCGTTGTTCCAGAGTCGGAATGTACTTGGCCACGATGCCCTTCGACTCCCCGATGCAATACACGGCTCTTAGCCTTATTCGCGACTCGATCCTAGATAGGGTTTGAGTTCGACTCATGACTGAGTCTCTCGTGAATAGTCATTGAGACAGGGTTTTCAATGACCGCTCTAGTCATACTAGGTTGATGATGAAACATCGCTCTAGATATTTAGCCAGCGTGGAGGTACTTTACTTTCTTCCACGCTAAACTCAGTATAAATGCTAGACGAATCTTCCACGCGTTCCGTTTTTGGATCGTGGAGTGAGTAGGATTGCTACCCGCAACCTACTCTATCACACTCTACAGTCTCCCGCGGGAGTTCAGATCTAACGATCCTTTGTTTGTGGATCTCTCTCGTTGATTAGTTTTCATAGCTTTCTAATCCTCTCATAACTTTCATTCTCTTCAAACTCAAAACACTCGAAAGATCTTTACAACTAGCTTTTAGCGTAGTGCATTTTGTTAACAAACACAATAGCTTTCAGCTACCCTCAACCTATTCCTCCACCATGAAGATTGCCAAAGACGCTTACAACCAGCTTCGAGTCTAAGCTGCGTGACAAACCAATCCTTCCTCTCATCGACCTCGACGATGAATGCGAAATCGACGATTCTCGCTCTACCACTTACAAACTTCGCACTGTTCAGCAGAGCTAACAGTGCCAAGTACACCTTCAAGGCCAAATCATCAATGGTATCTGAAGACTCCCGTCAAGCATCAAGTGGGCTGGACGCATGGAGAAGTTCTTCGTTGGGCTCGCCATTGCTAACTCCTACCGATAAAAACAATAACCGCCTCAAGGAAGGACTTCTGGCTCTGCAAAGGCAGTTACGAATCTAGCTTGGCAGGCCACCGTGAACTACTTGGAATGCCTTTCGCCAGATTGCAGTCACACGATTCCTCCACGCGACATAGTGGCGGTGAAGAAGAAGCAACTTTCCAAGACGTTTCCAGGAATGCCTGGGACGGAGCAGACTCAAGCCTGCTTGGACGACTCTGACATTACGTTTGGCGCATAAATGCTGTGTCGAAGCGGTCTGTCCCT